TTTTTGTTGGTCGCTTTCGCTTTGCTGCCAATTCTCGATACGAGATTGGTAGCGGAGCGTGAATTCGCTCCGGGACCTGACGTCGCTTGCTCTTCGTGATTGAGCCCCTCGATTACCTGATCGGGAGCGGCGGACCTACGCCCAATACTATCCTTTGCCCGAATCACTGCGCGTGTCTTGACGAACAACCTCATGGAGGCGGCAAAGGATGAGAAACTGTTTCGATGCTTTTGGAATGGTGATGTCTCGACATTCCAGGACTATGTGCGGCGAGTCCGACTTGCTTTCAGCCGCGCGAAGAAGAAGCATCGAAAACATCTCGCAGCAGACTTGGTGTCCCAGCTGACGGGACGTGCATGGACGATCACCCAAGAGATCAGTCATGAAAGGTTGGTCAAAGAAGATGGCGCAAAGTACCTCGTCCAGTTCTTGGAATCCCATCTTGCCCGAGTTCCTGTGCCTGACGCTGGAGCTAAGGCAGAAGAGTTGTTAGTGAAGCTCCGTCGACCCTTCGGCATGAGCATGAGTACTTGGTGCGCCACCGTTCGTGAACACTACCGGCAACTCCAACGTGCCTTGAAGAGAGCTGCACCTCTCAATCCTTCCGGAGAGAAGGACACTACTCCTAAGAGGTCTCCCTCGGTGCCATCAACATCGTCTCCTCCGTCTCCGGCCCGATCAAGTCGAAGGACATCTAAGAGAACAGTGCCAGAACCTGAGGCACCCGATGAGGAAGAGGGCGATGAAGACGATCTGGATTTCGAGTATCCTGACTCGCCTGATGGAGATGACCCAGGAGAAGAGAGTGATGCTCGTCGCCAATGGCACGGTCGAGGGCGCAAGGCAAAGTCCCAAAAGTCTAATTCATCTGATGATGATGATATGCAGTGGGGAGTTCGACTTTGGGATGATATGGATTCAAGCCTTCCGGAAGTCCTTCCACCTGAACTTCTTGGGTGGTTGATGCTTCGTCGAAGTAGCCTGAGCGCCCAACAACGCTTGAACATCCTGGCATCAGTTGGCAACAGCTTGAAGGCCGACGACATCGAAAGAGGTCTTCGTGGCGCTGAGGAGGAACTTCGACTTCATGAACGAGACCCCGAAGGCCGAGGAAAAGGAAAAGGAAGTGCCCATCGACAGAAACCGAGAGCCAACTTCTGGGTTGAACAAGATGGAGAATGGGGCCTCTTGATCGATGACCAGGAGGCAAACGAATGGCTTGAAGATGGTGCAGTGCATTGGGTTGGCCATGACCTTTCGACCGTCTATGCCTCGATGGATGAAGGGACGACTCGAACTTCAGAAGTCCAGAGTCGACCTGACAACAATGGTTTCTGGCATCAAGATGAAGACGGAGGCTACACTTTCTGGAGCAAAGCCACTGATGGTGAATACTACTCTCAGGATCAAGCCGGCACCTTTTGGGCTTGGTCCGACTTTGAAGATGATCAAGTGTGGTGGTCAGCCACGCCTGAACAGCAGAAGGAGATCTCTGAGGCCTACGCCAACTATGAAGGAAAGGTGAGGTCCTTTGCAGAATCCCGTGCCCTTCTACGTCAGAAGAACTTGAGCAGAGGTTTCTACCCGAAGAAGGGCAAGGGCAAAGGAAAACCATCGAGCTTCTCCAAGGGCAAGGGTACAAAGTCGGCTCCAATGCCCACTTTCGTTGTGGAGAGCCCCGGAACCCCGAATGATGTGTTTGCAACTTCCAGAACTCCAGGCAGTGCTGGCTACACCGGATGTTTCGTGTGCGGAAGTAAGGGTCACACCTTCCGAAATTGTCCTTCTCGTTCAAACACCTCATCTTCTTCAAAGGGTTCTGGGAAGATCTTCATGGTCGCTGAGGTTGAAGAGCACTATGAATCTGAAATCCCTGAAGTGAGCCAAGGAATGGACATCCCTCAGATCCTTTCCTCTGAGGTCCTGCAGCCAGAACTTCAAGGCTATGGTGCGCTCGACACTGGCGCCACGGAATCGGTGAGTTCCTTAGCGGCCTTGGAGTTCATCCACCTCAGGAGGACCGAGTTGCTTGGGCATGGTAACCATGTGACTGTGATCCCTGGGCCTCAGAAGATGTTTCGTTTTGGAAATGGTTCCCTTCAATTCAGTGAATCCTATGTGCACCTGAAACAAACTGTTGGCCCTCATGAGATTGATCTTGGCGTGTTCACGCTGGATTCGAAAGGAGTGCCTTTGTTGATCGGAGTTCGGACACTTGAGAGGCTAGGTGCGATCATAGATGTTCACCAGAGTATCCTGGTGTTGAAAACGGTGGATCCACGACTTGTGATCCCCTTGAGACGGTCTAGAACAGGCCATTTACTGTTGGACTTGTGCTCGAATTGGTTGGATGGAGGGGCAAGAATCCTCTTCATGCAAGATTCTGCTGAAGCTGAAGCTGTTGAAGGTGGAAAGATTTTTGTGGTTTAAGAGGAGTTCCCGGCAGACTTGCTTCATGCCCCACACTATCCTTCGACTACCACGACATGTTTGAGTCCCACTATGGCCTCCACGTCTACTACGACGGCCTCCCTACCTCATGAACTACTTCATGGAAGGCACCACGAGGTCAAGGTGATCGGCAGTCAAGTGCTTTGTGATTCAGTACATGCAGTCCATGAACCACCATGTTCACACAACAGTTCATCAACTTTGGTCGAAAACCTTTTTCCAGCTTTTGAAGAGCTTCAGCAAATGCCAGAGTTTATAGAAGAGCCAATCGTTTTGGAAGAGACTTTTGGAAGTACCACACCTTTCTCTCCGGCCCTCTTGGCTGAAGAACGCAATTCGGATTTAGGTATGAGCCTGCGGATCTTAGCGATCCTTGCCACGGCCTCGTTCACTTCTCCCCATGGCGGCAACCACTACTCCGAAGAAGACTACATCCTCCCGAGCCAAGGGGAAACAAATGCTCGAGGTGACGAATGCCGCTGGGACGTTCGAAGTGGATGTCAACCGGTTCGACACCGACCGGATGTGCGGCCCGGACCACCGGGACCCCAGGCTCCTTGGGGATCCTTGCCAAGGAACGCACGACCCAGCTCCACCGGGTCGCGGCTCACCGACGGGCTCCAACGCCCATGCATACTGGGTGGCATGCAATCGATGCCAACTCCGGCTCTTGTATGTCCCCAGCTACGGAGCCCACGGCCTGACAAGAGCAGCAGGTCCGTTACCTTCGGACACGGCAGCCAAGGTGAAGGAGTTGGGAAACTCAGCGGCTTACAGCCCAGAGATGCGCAACAAGAACGTGGGCTTGGATGCTGCCGAGAATTCCTTGATGAAACGCTTGGAAGTCATCCGAGCTCAGAAGGAGCAACATCGTCAAGGCAAGCCGGAGACGAAACCAAAGGCCAAGGCAACTCAGGGCTACATCAAGGAAGAGCCGCCGAGGGATCCGGAAGTCATGAGCCAAACGCCTGGTCGGAAGGGTCGCAAACCCGAGGATGCAGCAGAGCTCCTGGAGTACCAGAACCGGAGTTCCGAAGCTTCATGGAGCGTCGCTGGAACACCACCTTCCCCAGACCAGACGTAGGCGAGATCCGGTACAAGGCCGAAGAGACTTTGGATCTTGGAGCAGTGCTTTCAAAGTATGACCTCATTCCCAAGAATGTGAACATGGATCCTCGCACTGTGCTCTTACAGAATGACACGGTCCTTGAGAATTTGGCCATGGCGATGAGCAGTGATCTCCAACAGAATGAGCTCGTCCCTGACTATGACGACATCGAGAATGAGGTGCCTGACTATTTGCTCGTACCTTTGAGGTACTATGAGGCTCCGGGAGAGGAGCAGGGGACCGATGACGAGCATGGATATGGTCCAGAAAAGTTAGAAGATTTGGCACCGGAAGACCAGAACTTCATCGAGGAGACACTGCAAGAGAAGAGGCTGGCCTTTGAGGATTGTTTGGCATCATGCTCCTCGCCAACGTTGCCAGAGAAGTTGGACCTCATGGAACTCTGCTGTGAGGAGGATAGTTTGATCACCCGAACATGGCGGTCCTCTGGAGGGAAGGCTGGTCGGATGGGTTTGTTCAACCATTGCAATCTCCTCACCGATGCTGGAACCCAGGAGGCAATTAGGTTGGTGCAACTTCACAAACCCGAGATTCTGTGGGTCGCCTTCCCGTGCGGCGCAACTTCACCTCTTCAGCATCTCAACGAGCTCACTCCAGAAGGCCGAAAGCGCAGCCAGCGCCGAAAGGCCCGATCACGTCGACTCATCAAGAATGGCATCAAGGTGATCGAAGCTCAGTTGAATCAGGGCGGAGAAATTGTCCAGGAATGGCCACTTCATAATGAGGCCTGGAAGTTTGACATCGTGAAGGACCTGTGGAACGCCCTGAGTGGAGTTGGGAGATGCGAAGATGTTTTGTTGGATGGCTGCCAGTTTGGTCTGAAGTCACCTCAGGGTGAGTTCATGAAGAAACCCTGGCGTTTGCGATCATCACGCCCGGGTATGATGACATCAATGGGACGTCGTTGTGATGGTCGGCATCACCACACTCCAGTGATGGGAGGCGATTTGGCAAAGAGGACAGCCCTGTATACTCCAGCTATGTGCAGGGCAGCTTGCAGATGCTTCAATGAGTTCCTGAGCCAGTCAAGAGTTTTTGGGGCACTGGAGGTGAAGATTGATAGAGAAGGCCTCAAGACCCTCACCGAGAAGGAGCTCGCTCATTTGGCTGAAACGGCCTTGAAGCTTCATCGTCTTTGTGGGCACCCCGGAAGTCACGCATTGGTACGCACTCTCGCGGCCAAAGGAGCTGATGGGAAGCTGCTTGCAGTAGCAGAGCAACTGAAATGCATGGAGTGCCTTGAGGGCACAATGAAGAAATCATCGCCCAAGGTGTCTTTAGAGAAAGAGCAGAAGCTGTGGCGAACCCTCCAAATCGACGCCTTTGTCCTTAAGAAAGGAGATGCAGTACACCACTTCCTCCTGATGCTGGATGAGGCTTCGGGTTTCTCCGTGGTTTATGAGATGCAATACTTTGGTGAAGCAATTGGAGATGTAGAGCGAGCAATCGGAGAATTGAAGAAGAAGATGCTAGCATACCTCCGGCAGGACAATTCTGCTGAACCACGCCTTGCTGCGTACGAGATGTGTGCTGCACATAATCGTTTTGCTAGAGTGAGTGGATTTTCCCCAATTCAATGGGCTTTTGGCCGAGACCTTTCTGATGATCCTGGATTCGCGACTTTGAACGCAGCTGGTGATCCAACCTCAGAAATGAACAAGAACCTGCAGCTAAGACTTGATGCTGAGGCTCAATATCGAAAGATGCAGGCTAGGGCAAAGATCTCTCGTGCTTTGAACGCCAAACCAGACCGATCGACGCAGTACATTCCGGGAGATCTGGTTTACTACCGGAGATACAAATTCCCCAAAGATACCATAGCACATCGAGAACTTGATTTACCTCAAGGAAGCCATTTCCGGTGGTTTGGGCCTGCACGAGTTTTAGCCTGCGAAACCCGAGTCTCTGAAGATCCTCTCCTTCGTCGACCTGGCAACGTGGTGTGGATCATAGCCCAAGGAAGACTCAAAAGGGCTCACACGTCGCAACTCCGGCATTCCAGCGAGAGAGAACGGTTGATTGCAGAGGCAACCTCGGCCCCGACACTTCCCTGGACGTTCACCGCTCTAGGACAAACCCTCGACAGGGGCCAGTACGAGGACCTGATCCAAGACAAACCTCCCACTGGCCAAAGGACGAGACGGGGTCGTTCAGCGGTGAGAAGCCGAAGCAGAGGACCACCTGTCCATCAACCTCCTGCTCAACGAGATCCTCTTTCAGAACCTCTTATTCCTGCCGCTCGACCAGAAATCAAACAGACTTCAGATGATTCAGAAGAAGAGCTCATCCCTGTTCCAGAGGAGTCAAGACCTCTGAACCAGAGTGAAATGCTGCCAGAAGAGCCAGAAACACCCATGGACGTTCAACGTCTTCTACATGATCCGACTTACATGCCGATGAAGAGGACTTCAACAGAAGACCTGGCGGCCAAGAGAAGTGAATTTCTTCGAGCTCGGCATCGACATGAGATGGCAGACAGGCTATTACATGTGAAGAAGCAAACTGAGTCTTCCGCCTCCTCCTCACAGGCGCTATGGCTCGATGATGTTGATCAGGACTTTGTGCTGAGCGTGATCATCCCGATCCCCGAAGATGAAGCAGCTTGGAAAAGGGTTTTGAAAAACCCCGGCCGCTTTGTGGCGAAATCAGTGCAAAAGGGAGTAGAAGTGGGCTGGGAGAAGCTCTCGCCATCCCAGAAGGAAAGCATGAAAGAGGCAAAGATGCTAGAGGTCTCCCAATGGGTTAGCCAGCATGTTTGTGAACGCTTCAATGGTCTGGTCCCCAGATCCAGGCTCATGCGCACAAGATGGGTCCTTGTGTTTAAGGCCATCGACGGGGATGAGAAGCATGTCGAGTGTAAAGCTCGCATAGTCCTTTTGGGCTACACGGACCCCGACCTGGGGGACCTTGCCACGGGAGCGCCGACGATGACACGTCGGTCAAGACAGTTGTTGTTGGGCCTGTCATCTTTGAAGCACTGGAGCATCACCAAGGCGGACGCCAAAAGCGCCTTTTTGCAGGGGCAAGACACTCAACGAGCTCGGGACATTTACATCACTCCAGTTCCTGAGTTGGCAGAACAGCTTTCCTGCAAACCTGGCGAATGTGCCAAGATGTTGAAGGCTGCTTATGGCCTTGTCTCAGCACCTCGTGAGTGGTATGGAGAGGTCAACAATGTGATCACCACCAAGCTGGGCATGAAGCGCCTGACCACTGATGGTTGTGTTTGGATTCTGCAGGATCCCAAGTTCTAAGAGACCCTCGGCTATGTCGCAAGCCATGTGGACGACTTTTTGATCTCTGGATCCCCTGACCATCCCTTGTGGCGGAAGACAGTAGAAGCCTTTAAGGGAGCCTTTTCATGGAGCCCATGGGAATCCACTCCGTTCACCCATTGTGGCATTGGTGAGTCTCAAGAAGCGGATTGGAGTTTTCGTTTGTCACACCACACCTTCGTGGAGGAACTGCGCCCCATCGTCATTGATGACAAGAGTGAGATGGTCACAGCGCAAGAAATGAATCAAGCCCGGGCGCTGTTGGGAGCAATGCAATGGCGTTCCATTCAGACTGGACCTCAACACTCATCGAAAGTGTCTTGGCTTCAGAGCTCTCTCCCAAAAGGGGTAAAGATGTCCTGCACCAGATCAATAAGTTGAGCAGAGAGATGCACCACCAGCGCTATCTGTCCGTGTCCACTCGACAGTTGGGAGCAGAATCTGTGGACGACATCGGATTCGTGTGCTACACGGACGTTGCGGTGGCCAACCGGCCGAACTTTGCATCAACGGGCGGACACTTGGTGGGAATGGTCCATCGTTCCTACCTTCAAGGCAAGAAGGGATTCGTCAACCCCATCTCATGGAGGTCTCACAAGTTGGTTCGTGTGGCACGTTCCTCGCTGTCAGCCGAAGTTCAAGCGATGGCCGAAGGAGAACAAGAGCTGATGTTTGCTCGAGCAGAATGGTCCGAACTTCTCGGACGACCACTTGATCTTCTGCATCCAGAGCGTTCTACACAGCAAGTGCCTGCAGCCATCATCACGGACGCGAAGTCCGTGTACGACTGTGTGAGCAAGGGTGACACGACCAGCTTCAATATGAAGGAGAAATACACGGCACTTGAGCTGATGTCAGTGTTCAACCACCTTGAGGCTCAGCGGACAGCCTTGCTTTGGGTGGCTTCGGACAGCCAATTGGCTGATGGACTCACCAAGGGATCTGCCAGCGAGATGCTGACCAGATTCTTCCAAGGACATCAAGTTTGGGCGGC